GGCTATCCACTAGGTTTTGCAGTTTGCACTAATTGTTTTGGGAAATGCACTAACTGCTGTGCAAATGTTAATGGTGTTCTGAGAAACGCACCAAAGCGACTGAGAAAAACTGTAATTGGGTTGTGTGTGTTCTACGCCTTTCTGTGTTTTTGTTGGCTGATCAGCCACTGTTTAAGTTTCCCCTTTGTCTTGTTTAGTTAGGTTAGTTTGCTTGAGTTAGCAGTATTGTTTGTTGCCAGCTTATGAGAAGAGTTCTGTTACTTTGACCTCTTTTTTAATGGGCCCAAGATTTTGAATTAAGCCAAAAGGCTTAATACAAATGATATTTAGGAGTCAGTAGATTTGTTTTTGTTGTTTTATTTTACTTTGATTACACGTAAATTTTGGAGTGGTGGACCTTAAAGCTACTGAGGTAAATAGTTTAGATAGACTGTGTTCCTTTTTTTTTTTTTTTTTACCTTTTTCACACAAATGCAACACCCAATCTCATACTTTCTTTGTTCTACATACAGTGATCTCTAAATAGTTTGTAAAACAGAGCAACATTAGCCTCATTTCAAGTAATAAATTTAAACGATGATATCAAGTATTTTTAAGTAGAAATAGCTTTCTTCATGTGATGGACCGAGTTGAAAAACAGGAGGAGCCCAGGAATTATTAGAAAAATATAGTTTCCATTTATTTAACCCCCAAAAATTATATTTACAAGACTAATAAATGTTGAGCTCATAGAAACAAAACTGAACTCAGGCACAGACTGCAACCTTAACAAACCAAATGACTACCCAAACACACATAATTGACCTAAAACATGAAATGACATACAAGGGTATATATAATGGCTGATCAGACCATTGTGACACATGAGGGGGTAACAAACAAACACAATCATAAACCACAAACGATGCAGTACAATCTAGTTTGTTAATAAACTAAACACTAAAGAAGAAAATCAAAAACCCCATTAAACCCTAAACTCAAATATTTAATTAAATACAAATACTTTGTTTTTAAAGTAAAGAAAACACACATTCCCCCCTTCAGCAGGAAGTGGTGGTGTAGTCCAATTATCTTCCCTTGTATTTAATGGTTTCAAACCCTGGCTACCATCTTTTGTCCAGCAACTCCCAGGGATGATGGCAGGTAAGAAATAAAAAGACAAAAGTTAGTCAGAAAGCAAAGAAATGAAGTAGTATGAATACATAAGTAAACTAAATTTGCGCGCTTACAAATAGAACAAATGTATCCAAACCAATCAATAAAGTTATTGGAAACTAAAATGTATTACTATGTTCAAAATGAAGAATGAAAATGCAAAAGTTACCGACTTTAGAGTGTGGCCATGGGTTTGGCCATCACACTTCATCACAAGCTGGCAGGTGTTATCTGTTAAAAGACCTTTAACGAGTAGGTAAAGGTCTAGATTAAACCAACAAATTGTATTATCAACCCTATGATTTTCAAACTGTTAGAATTCACTTTTTACTTACCATGTTTTATTTCATAGTAGTGGAGAAGAATTGAAAAAGGCAGTTTGTGAAGAGTGATGTGGCTTCTTCTGAGGCTTATCTTCAACCCTAACAATTGGGTAAAAATTTGACCCAATATTTTATCAAAGCTGCCCAACCTATTAGTCAAGCTGTGGAGTGAATTGAAGAACCCGGCACATTACCAACCCAACTCCTGAGTCATGACTTTTGAACCAATATTTGGTCACAATAACCCAACTTACAAACCTACGGCTTTTACCCAGCAGTTGAATTATCAAAATAACCCAGCATTTTTAAGAGTGTAAGATGACCAGTTAAGGTCGAAGATGAAAAAACATCTACTCTGCAGAGTGTGAAACAGGAGTACGAGTGATGGCTCTTGCTTTTATGAGGGTCTTCTGCTGGGCTTTTAGAGTGAAGGAGGCAGTGATGGAGGAGCCTCTAGTTCTCCAGGCAGCCTGAGAGCTTCCAGAGAAAGTGAGTAAATCACTCAAGGGGCCTTAGCTTCATCTCACCAGAAAGAAGCCTCATTTTTAAATGAAAACCATTTTAGCATGGATATGAAATAATTTTTCTGATGCAGCTGTGTAGCATTCATCCTCTCTGGTGTGGGAAACTTGTGGTGTTCTGAAAATGATTCCACAGACTTCAGACTTGTATCTTTGCACAGCTGTCAGGAGCACTGCCTGATATGACTTTAATCAGCAAATTCAATAGGTGTATCTAGCTTATCAGAAAAAGGCTCTCACACACTGTAGAGCAAAGCAGACGAGTGCTTCAGGTTAATGCTGATCGCAATGAAAGGAATATTACTCTGATTTTTTTTCTGTCGGAGATTTATATGTATTTATTCAGCCCCTGGCTCTGATGCAGCCCTTAAAAGTTCCTCTGTTGAACTAATTAGAGCTGTGCTGGCTTATCCCTCTGACTATTGTGGTGGTTATGGAAGCTTGCCTACTGGGACACACTATTTCTCACACACTAAGCATCTTATTTTCCCAAGATATCACTGCTGATATAGCTGTAATGGAAGCAACAGTAAAGTATTAACTGTTATATTCACAATTCCCTGCAAACAGCTTGCAAGGCATCTTGCCCAGTGACATTCTGGCGCAAAGATAAATGGAAACTATGGCTTGATTGTAGTAATTTCCTCATATGATATTTTCATTTCTGTTTACGGTTCATTAAGAAAGGAAAAAAAAAATTTAAGGCACCTGACTGAAACCAGTGCCAGAATGGTGAGATTAAACACACTCCTCAAAGAACCTAAATGAAACCTGTGCCCTTCTCGTTGTGACATGGCAGCACTAACCGCTGAGCCACAATGGCTCAGTGGCATTAAGTCACCACAGTCAAGCTGTATCATGCCGTGACGGATGGAGGACAGTTGTGCTCCCTCTGCCTGCAGTGAGCCATCCCACCTGACTCATTTGCTTGACCTTGACAACGAAGTCACTGTGACTCTGATAGTGTAGATGTAAGCACCCTCGGGAGACAGCCTTACCACCACACTAATCCAGTCTGTAAGAAGCCTATACCACTGCTTCCCAAAGGCTTACTTATTAGAAGAGATTGTTCTTGCTCGTGTTGACAGGTTTTGCAACATGTGAGTACGGCATAACTTAACAAAGAAAAAACACTGTCAGGTGTATTGCAAGTGAGCGGGGGCTTTTATTTTTTGATTGTGAGTTGTCAAAGCTACAGTATTGTCTTGTTTTCTGTGCTGCACTGATCAAAGAACCTGACCTAATTATTAGCACACAAACAAGTGTCTACATTCTCAATTATTCTTGGATTTTATGAAAATGCTTTGTTTAATTATGTTTTAATAACATTATGTCAAGCAACTAGTTGTATATGTATTTATTTATGCTACTTTTACTATGAGAGAACAACACCCTCAGGATGATGCATCCATGAATCCCTGCAGACCTCCATG